TATTTGGGTCATAATGTCATTATCATCATGATACTATTGTTTCTATTTGGGGCACGCTGTCATTATCATTATGATATTATTGGTGCCCAGTGGGCAAGTTTTATGATACCATTGTATGATATCACTGTGTTTCTGTTTCTTGGGTGGGTTTTTTCCCCGCCGGGGCCTCCTCCTGCTACTACTACTACTACTACTACTACTACTCCTGCTGCTGCTGCTGCTGCTACTGCTACTGCTACTGCTACTGCTACTGCTACTGCTACTGCTACTACTAATGGGTTACGTAACCTACTTCCAACAGGTTGCAATGGGGTCATGGTGTTTTCGTTGAACTTTCATGTGGGGGATATATCGTATTACCTAACTCCAGGGGCCCTAGAAGGAAGGGTTGTTGCAGCGAGATTAGAAGTCATTAGTTTTGGGTGTTGGGTTGTAGGGTTAAGGGTTCACCCTAAAAAAGACGATGATCCTACTTTTGATGTTGATATTTTCAGGCATGTTTTTGAAACTTGGAGGTGAGTACGTTTCTTTGCTGGACAAGGAATGGGCTATGTCAGTAACCCCACCACCTCAACGAGCCCTTCTGGTCGATGAGGGCTCAGAGTGGGTTCAGTCTTCTTAGGGGTTTCTATTTCTTATTGTAAAGGTTTGGGGCGTAGGGTTTGGGGTATAGGGATGGGTAAGTTGCTAGCAGATGCGATTCAAGCCACCTTGTCAAGTCCGTGGCTTTGGACTGACTTACAGGGCGGGTTGTGGACATAATGCAAAACAAGAAAGTCCTGGAACGTGGATGGGTCTAACACCCCCGTCACCCCTAAACCCTCGGCTGGTAGCTTCCGTTTTCTCTTCCCTTCCTTCATCCCCTACTCACAAGCAGCTAGTCAACGGATTGCCCAAAGGGACCTTTGAGGGTAAATCTAAAGTCCTAACCACGGGCCCCTATTTTGTTTCCTGGGTGCTAACTTAAGGCTCTTAATCGGGCTTGTAGGGTTTTCTGGGGCGCTAGATGTATAAGGACCCCTGGATGAAGCACCCATGCATCCCCACACTGGGTCCCCGAGCGGTTCAGGCCCGAGATTGAAAGAGTCCTAAGACCTTCCTCCAAACATTGCAAGTGCTTGCTTTGCGCCATGAAGACAAGCACGTATGCATTTGGGCATGTTAGATGTAGAGACATTGATCCCCGCACATGCACATGGCTCAAACAACAGTAACCCTGTAAAAGGAGAGATCCTCATAGCATCCATATTAACAGCAAATACTTCTAATTTTGCAGGGCGCGCTGAGACGGCAGCTCAAGGTGCCTCTTGCGCATCCAATGGGAAGCAAGGGCCTAGACTACTAGGGTTTAGGGCTTAAGGTTTAGGGTTTAGGGCTTAAGGTTTAGGGTTTAGGCCTTCTGCAGGGTCCTTTTTTCACGGGTAGCATGGGTCAGCGGTTTGCGACTTTTCGGACAACTTTTTGGGGCCTTAAATTGCAAGGTGTCCACGCTGTGAAGGTGAAGCTGTCGACTGCAACAAAGTCCGAAACGCTGAAAGAGTGTTTGCTCGCGGTAAACATCAACTGTATGTTTAGACAAGCTGCAGCTGAACTGGAGGCGGCTGGTAATGCTTATGTAGGCCTTGGAGAGTTTTGTTGAGCAATTGAAGGCCTTCACGGATTACCCGTCAGGATCACATGCTATCCCTGCTTAGAAGAGGCTGAAAAGGTACTTTCAGCTTTTCACTTTTTTGTGCAGTATATATATATACATGGGAGTTTAGAGTTCTTGCTTGTGTGGATTCTATTGGATTCTCGCACAAAAATCGGGTGTACATGCCAGGAAAGTTTCCGTTCAGGCTGTTGTTTGTGCCTCCATGCGTTGGTTTCTAGAACTCATGGTCATTCTCTGGGTGTTTGGAAAGGGCTACGGCCATGAGGCTTCAAGTTCCCACAGTGTCTTGCTCCATTTCTTAGCGTGTGTGTTTTAAGAGGTACACTCTTCCGGGAACGTTTGGGACGTCGTTGCCAGCGAAATGTTCTTAGCCATCTCTCCAGACTTGATCTATTTTCGGGATTAGGGATTCAGGGTTTAGGGATGCTAGGGTTCGGGCATTCAGGGTTTAGGCATGCCAGGGTTCAGGGGTCCAGGGTTTCGGGATTCTAGGGTTTAGGGAGTACAGGGTCTAGGGATTGTAGTGTTTAGGGGTTTTACAGGCTCTTCAGGCATTGTAATTTCAGAGCGAGGTCTTGATCCAAAACCCTGTTCCGCCCAAAGCCCAACGGCTCTCAGATTGCAAGCATGCACCCTTCTTTTGGGCCGTTCCCTGTTTGGTGGGGTTCTAGGATTCCGGGTGCCTAAATTAAAGGGGATTTCAAAGCTACGTAAGGATCCCAGAATAAAAGGCCCATGCATGGCTTGAACCCTACAAGGCCCTAAAAGGGCCCAAGTGTCCCGCAGGTCAAGGATACCCTGGCCGCTTCAGGTCTTCAGCTGAGCAACCAGCGTATCTCACAAACCGCTTAAACCATGTTGGTGGTTGGGGCTTAGGGTTGGGGGTGTAGCATGTTGTGTCTTTCCTAGTTTTTCAGGGGGTTTGGTTTGGGGTTTAGGCTTGAAGGCTTCAGGTTATCTACTGGCGAGTAGCGAATTGCCAAGTAGTTATGATTGAAGTGCGTGCATATCTTAGGTTGCTTTCCGAGCCTGTTTGTTCGTGCAGGTTTAGAAGTTATGCTCCCATGTGGGCCCGCCAAAAGACCGGGTGCTGTCCTGTCCAGGGCACCCCCAAACACGACATGCATCTAAATCCTGCGCAAAGCTGTCGTGCGCTGTAGGAAGCCACCAGACCTTGCATTGAGCGGTTGGATTCGAGTAAGTTTGAAGTTTGCAAAGGACTTGTAAGCCACGGGGAATCAAGAGTACTTAACGACAGACGCGATCTTTGCTTTCCTAAGGGTTTCCCCAGGACTTGAGTCTGGATGCATCTACGCGAAGTCAAAGTCCATATCGTCGTAGCACAAAGCGGGTGATTCCCCAGGAGTTGGCTTGCCAGATGTGCCTCACTGCATTGCTGAAGCACAAATGTCTAGGCTCGTTCCCTGATTCTCCAGGGGTTGAGGGTATACAAGGTGGTGCCAGTTATCCGTCATCCACACCAAAACCCAAACAGTGACCCTGGTGTTGAAAGCCTCTGTTGTCATACGCTTCCCGTATCATCCAGTATGTAGTCCCTATACGGACTTTGAAGGGCTTTACCGCCTTTGTGAAGCCCCATGACACGTAGCTTCATCCTGTTGTGCTCTTATTCTGTAGAGCAATACCGGCTGGCTTATGATGGGGGCTCCAAATTGGGGTTCACAGTTTAGATCACCTTATCATAACCTCTGCAACCAGCCCATGACAGAACATAGTTGAAATCGCGAGAGCCCTGATGTTCGGCATCCATTTTTCCTTGCCACATCCTGAGGCCGGAAGAAGATCTAACGGCAACAGCCGAAGACATCCAGGACCTTTTCTATAACCCACGATCTGTTGGGAGTGAGAGTGGGCCCCTATTTCTAGTAGTCCCTGTATAGCCTCACAGAAATTTTCTCCTACACGCTAAACTCCGTAAACCCTAAAATCCACCCACTCCGAAGGTTGAGTGGGTTTGCAATGAGGGTCTACAAGCAGCCGCTGCGGCAGCTTGGGTTACGGGTTTTGAGCAAGGGCTTAGGGCTAAGGATTTCAGGGAGGGTCATATCTTTGGCGATTGTACTTGCTTCCGGCTCAAGCAAGTACGTGTTCCCTACATTCCCAAGATTTGACCTTACCTAAATCCGGATGCAAGCTTTCAGCCTTCACCCACTTCGCGAAGCTCTGCATAACCATTGGCAGTCTATGAACCAGAGCAGTGGACCAGGAGCTGACGCAAGGAGAAACGCCGCAGGTGCTGCAGCCTCCTCAGCCGGGTTGAGAGAATGGGGTGGTTTGCGGTTCAGGGCTCCTGTTCACGCCGTAATGCAAAAACTGGACAAGGGGGACTTCGATCCCCTCGTGAATAGCTCCTGCGAGAAGGCATACTTGCATTCATTTGCCCAAACATATAACACCAACCAAAAGACTGGCATGCCGAGACGGTTACACTAGAGAAGGTCTTATGGGCTTGTGGGTGTAGCGCTGGCGTATTTTGCCACAACCACGGCTGCTTGCATGAGCGCGCAGCATGGCAAACACAACATGGGACTGGGACTCATTTGCGGTATGTGCTCGCCCTTGATTTCACACATGCAGAGCCACAGCCCGCTTGCCGGAAGCAGGTTTTCAATTGGCGGAGGTCTCTTTCAGGTAGTGTGTCAATTTGACGACGACGTGGCACCACGTCTTCATCTGGCATGAAGACAGAGATATCAGATACATGGCGCAGTCTCCAGGAGCGGTCGGGGTTTTCAAGCAATGTTGTGTTGAGGACCTAGAATCTGCAAACTGGGGCTTAGTCGGGAATATTGGAACTCTTCGTTGTGGGGGGAATACTACCTTGGGATCATATTCCCTCATTCCCTACTGAGAAGCAATAAGTATACTTCCTACTGAGAACTGCCACTTGCTGACCAGCAAATGCCGCTCAAGGTGGCTACGTTCCGATAATGAACCCGAGCACGACGTGGACGCAACAGTGTCGTTGCTGCCTCAGAGACGCAGGGCTCCAATGCTTTACGGTTATCATAGGCAGAGAAGTCTGTACAGTAGCTTGGCATGTACACTTTTAATTTCTAGGGTTCTTATCACTCTACTATGAAAAAAACGGTGTGGACGTCTCTTGGCCTACGGAACTCAGCAAGTGTCTGGACGCCTACAAATGTAGGGCAGGAGGGGGCAAGGAGAGCAAAGGATCGCCCAACTTGTTAGAAATCGCGTCGCAAGAGGAGTCGCAGAGAATTTTTTACAGCTGAATCTCCAGACCTAAAGCCCATGATGTTAACCTGTGTCAGCGTCAAATCCACACTCAAAAGTTCTCGAGCCCATTAAGGCACCCTCATGAATATTGCATCGATGCTCATATGAATATTCCATCGGTTTAACGAAATTGGAGTGCCAAGTGAGCCCTGATGGACGGCAAGCGCTCTCAATCGCAATCCCATCCGAACATCTGGAGAGTGTCATGTAGAAGTGTTCTGACATGATTCTTCATATAGTCCTCAAGCAGGGTGTATAGGAGACCCTTGCTTCCATATGCGGATCTCCCTATAGCGAGGTTCCTATCACAATGCGGGTCCCTGTCCAAATTA